ATAAGGACAAGACCCCCCTGTAAAAGAGAAGTCATCAATTGCTATGTCACCAGTGATACTGCTTCCTACTACGCCTTCAAATGTTACCTGTCAAAAACATGGTATTACAGTGTAATCAGTCTGGAAGGGTCGCTTTAATGATGGACTTTAAAGACAAATTAATATTGCAGAAATGAAAAATTAACTTGAATGTTTAAAGAACTAAATAATTGATACAAACAGCAAGCACATCCTCTTTGAAACGCTAAGTGTTATTTTCTTTGCATTTACGAACTTTAGAGTGATACACCGTAATATTCCGAAAATAAGCCCCGCGGCTTATATTTTTCAAAGGCCCTTTTTGAGGGACTTATTTTTGGAGGGGCTTATATTCGGAGGGGCGTATCTACGGAGGGAAATTTGCGTTTCAAAATCGATTGGGCTAGCCTTATAGTTGGACGGAAATTTACCGTTTTGCTTTGTTTTACTTTGTATTTGAGGGCAATTTCCAAGTACAAGCCCACCGGGGGGCTTATATTTGGAGGGGCAATTTAAGGTCTCGGTAAAGGAAAACGAGGTGCCCACAGAAAAAAATTCTAGTCGCGCGAGTATTTTCGCTACAAAGGCAAGTTATATATCAAATTAAAGCTAAAAGACTAAATTACCCTATAAAAGATTTTATTTCATCGAATTTCAAAAGGCGCTTAAGTTTTTTGCTCTCGAACTCAGAGGTATCGAGTTTACTGCTGAAGCTCCAGCCCTTTCGCGTTGTTAAATATGCACTTCCTTTTTATTGCATCTGATTGACAGATAAAAGACCTAAAAAAGGGTGTGAGGAAATTTGCATATGTCTCGTATTAGCGGAATTATTGCATTTCAAACTAAAAAGTCGAATCTCGAGCGCGATTTACGCAAAGAAACTGACATAAAATGAGTTACAAAGGGAAATCGGAAAATTCCTCACACCCTTTTTGAGTCTATATCATCATCCGTCATATCTGAAAGTTTCAAAGCGATAGCTTAAAACCTGCCCCGACTGGAGGTCGGAGAATTTTGATTTTTGCGTCTAAAATAGAGTGAGAGAAAATCAGCTCTAAAGATTTAGCGCGAGGTCCACGCTTGGCTGGTTAGCTCAGAAAAGGCTCATTTTAGAAGGGTTAAAAAGCACTTTCTGATTTTCTTTTTCTGCCAAAATAAAATTTAGGACCCACTCATGCCAAAAATCCAAAAAAACCAAAATCGAGCAATGTACTAAAATTTTCATTTACCGAGACCTTAACGGAGGGTTTTTTACGTTACGAGTTTGGAGGGGCTTATTTTCGGAATTTTACGGTATAACTTACCTTTTGTCTGTGTTTAATTTATAGTTAATGATAAGATGAAGTATTATAGTTTTGCTTGCTTTGCTGATAAATACAGAAAGTCCGTCTAAAGTAAGATTTGTGGAATTTAGACTCTCGAAAATTCTCAAAATTTTGTCAAAGATTCCTGCCTTATGCCGCTTCAAATCATTGGCTCCCTACTGCGTTTAGAGAAAACCGTTTTCAGACGGTTTTGATATCGACGTGGTCTCATTATAAATGCTTACCCAGTGCAATCCCACAATAGATGATATATTTATACTAGCTTTATGCCATATGTCTTCTTTATCACCACTCGCAGAGAACACTACTGTTTCATTTATGGTGACGTTCAGGCTTCCAGTAGCTGCACCAGACATATAGTAATAGAACTCAAGGCACATAATCCCAAAGAACTTAAGTGGAGGACTGTAAAATTTTGCATCATCACCTGGTTGATGTAGACTGGATGCTTCTATGTACATGTAATAACCTTTAAGGAGATAAAGATGGATAGAGGGTAGCAACTTATAACTATCCCGTAGTTTTAAGTTGAGGACCGACTGTCCAATTTTGTAAGTTCTTGTTGACTAGATAACTGTAAAAAATGAATGTTTAATAACTTACACAATATACGGATACAGGAAAGAAAAATAACCAGTGCTTACTAAAAAATGTTTTTTAGTTGACCTAGAATAAGATTTTTCAAAGTTTGCGCGCAAATGCTAAAACAGTTCTCTGACCTCGTAAGGGCAACGTAAGTGAGGTAGCAAGAGCAAATAGGGTTACTATGTATAAGTAAGTGGGGGTGGGGGGTGGGGGGCTGTTTGGCTTAACCGGACCCTAAGAATAAGGGTAGTCTCGAGGATAATTTTTCTTGGCCCAACCGGCCTCAGTCGTACCTAAAAAATAAGGAGGGGCCCCTGGCCTCTCCCGAGCCCCTCTCTGGCTCTAGATCCGCCAATGCTATAAAGCCTTTCACATGAATTCACAACGGCTATGTTGGTGTAAACGCTTTCTTTTTTCGTAATATATTTGAACAGCTAACGACCACGTGAGTGAAAACGCTCTTTATGGAGATAAGGTATGAAAAGAAAATAAATAAAAACCCTAATATTATTTAAAAGGCAGGCAGGTGTAGCAATTCATTTTTCAGTGTCAGTTTAATAAAAGGGCTCTGTTGATTGATTGATATTATTGTTCTAAATGTTATTATCGTTTTGCATTCTGTTGACTCAAGAAAGAATAACGTCCCATTACTCTCTCTTGGGTGACTCCAATGTAGAGGGAAGTTTCTATTTTTTTGAAGGGGGGTTAAATATTAATGTTGCTTTCAGAATAAGAAAAAGTGGTGGACTTGGGCTGGATTGCTCAAGGCTGGGTGAAAATAACCTAGGATAGTACAAAATTCGGATTTAGATATGAACCCCCCCCCCCAAATAAAAAACAATTTTGGTTTAATTCTTTTTGTCCACAATTTGATCACTGGATGCTCTAAATAACCGTAACTGTCTCTACTAATACTAACTCTGGTTAGTTATAATTTAATTAGTTTAGAGTTCACCTGTAATGTTTCCAGTGGTTTGATCAACTAAAGGTCCTTTACTGGAAGATGGGCTCCTCCTGTGTCGAGTCCAGTCAAGCGTCCCATCTTTGCCTCGCTCGAAACCGCACATTGATACATCAAAGTTACATGTTATTTCTAAGTTGAGAAGAAGAAATGAATCTTAATGTTATAAATTGGTCTTTTTATGCTTAATCGATTCAACGTACTTCTTAAAGGCATACGAACTTAAGGTCCCGTTTATATCAATCACACACACTATACTTTATTTCATGCGCATCATTTTGCCATCTCCACCCGCAAATAGCAAAAGCTAGACGAGGCGGGCGGAGAGGAAAGGTTACAGCAGTCATAATATAATAATTGTAAAGTAACTAAATAAACTATGTGGATAAATAAGAATTACTGAAAAACAAGCTAAAGTTACAAAATATATAGTCTTACAGAATGATATTACAATCAAATTTACTACTAACAGAACCTATCGATTATTAGTACATTAAGTCGAGGATGCAGAATTTGCCATTTTTTGTAGGAGAATGGGCACCTCAACATAATCGTCCTCTGCTTCCATTATCGAGAGCAAAAAGTCATGAAAATTTTTGCTTATGGAATCCGGAATCCTGGGGTTTGGAATCCGGAAAACATCCCAAGGAATCCGGAATCCTACTAACGATTGGAATCCAGCATTCAAGTTCCACTGAAAAATACGGGAATCCAGTACCTGGAATCCAGAATCCTCAGCGTGGATTTCAGAATCCAAGACTGCCCTAGATTCCCTTACATGGGGTGAATGATAACTCGATCTGAAGCAAAGAAAAACTTTACAGTTCTTACATCGAGGTGAAAACCTAACACTATTATCTTTTTACTATACAAGTTTCAATAATGTATTTCAACAAGGGATTGTGAAAATCTTAAATTAAAGTTGATCTTCGTCGATGGAATCGTAGTAAAGCTTTTTCCACTTCGAAAATCCTTCATGCAGAGCGTAAATTAGCACCTGAATGTGCTGTGAATAAACCCTTTGAAACATTTACGACTGATGATGATAGCGCTTTGTCCCTTCTGCACCAGGACATGTTCAGTTGGTCTCTTACTTAACCCAGTGCATTGTTTGAGAAGGAACCCATGCCTCTTGCTCCTTCGAAAGGTATACTGAGTGTACTAAGCTATAATTTCAACTTCTCAATTTAGCTTTTTTTTTATGGCTTGCAAGTCGATTACATAAGCAAAAATATTAAAGATGCCCAAATGTTAAAAATGCGCTCTTTCAAAGAAGCCAGGCAGTTCCCTTCGTATGGTTGTTATGATTAAATTAACTAGAAATACGTGTCTTGCAAACCCTCCTCTTTGCCTATTTGAGTCCTTCTCCCATCCTCTAAGACCGAGTAGCAGCGAATGTTTACAACAAGTGAGTAGCTGTCTTTGTTCTCCGAGGATGTTCCTCTCCCTACCTTGTTGACAACTGACGTCAATCTCTCTGACAACAAATTCATCCAATAATTTCCTGGCACTTTGCTGCTTCTTATTTACCTGGTTCTTTTTTTGGTTTATGTTATTGGAGTACTCTGCAAAACGAAGTAACAGAGTAGAACAGGAAATAATTCTCTTCCCATTTTAATGATAATTCACTGCACGAAAAATTGGATTTACAAAAATTTACTCGGTGCAAAATATGGTGCAAAAAAGTGCAAACTAGGGGGAAATCAAAAGCAAAGATGGTAAATGCCGCATTTGCTTGCCAGTTTACGCGGGGTTGTAAACTTGAGGGCAAATGCGGTATTTACGATCGCTCCCCTTTATTTAACCTTAGTTTGCACTTTTTGGAACCAAATTTGCACTGTCAGTGAGTAAATGTTTCGTGTAGCGTAACGAGCAACGGAATTCTATTCGAAACAAAATCTCTTCACAACTGACTAATACTTCAACACAACTTCCACCGAAGAAGTCAAATTATCATTCCTTACAGGCATGCTTCCGCTTTACAGTTAAAGTTCTTTTGAGGAATTAACAATAATATGTAGAGTGATTGCGTCGTTGAACAACTTTTATGTTTATCAGTGTTTTGCAAGACCAATCTTAACAGACACGAACAGTAAACTCAACTCAACGCCATTACGAAAGGTTGTATCTCCATGGACATCCCATGATGCATCGCAATATGGTGCACCTTCTAACACCGTTCTCCAGTAAATTTGCAATTTTACATTCTGCTAGAGTGTCTTTGCGGCATTTTCACTAAGCTTCCCGAACGTGTTCGAATAACGGTATTTAGTTCCATCTTAGCGCATTGAGCAGGTTGTATATAGCCTTTGTGGTCTCTACACGGTTTCTTGCAGATAGTTTACCATCGAGGCACATTAACATCGTATATGAACGGTATCCGCAATTCAGTAACTAAGACAATTTCTTTCTTCCATCCTTGTCCACTCAGTAGGCCTTTAGGCTTGACTACAACGGTATTTCCAGGCATTACCTCATTTAAATCTTTGGCAGTCTGGTCATAATAACCTTGAGGCTTCTGGTTTCTTTTAGTTTTCTCTGCTAGCACTTTTTTCGCAATCTCCGCTGTCAGCAGTGTTACTTTCATGGGTATTTCAGTTCTTGTTCGACCGTTTATCAACGTTTGTGCGGTAGATATTGTCATGCCAGCCGTAGGTATGTGCTGTTCAAGTTATGCTTCATACAGACTCAGTGTTTTTTCTAAGATTTTCCTCAGCAGTCTTAACAATCTTCACAGCGGATTCAGCTTTTCCATTACAATCATTTTGGTGGTTATTACTGTAGGTGAAGATTTTGAATATTTAATCTTCTTTCTTTGGCGCGCAGAATTGTGGGAATTCAGCTGAGTCGGAAATGACACAGACTGCATGTGACGACACATCAGGAATTCCCAACTCGCAAACTGTTTTTGCATCAGATCAGTGGTTTCACCTTCAGTTTGATTTTTCGTCAAATCAAGTTCAATCCAGTCACTGTTATGCACTGATGTCATGGGATTGCCCCAAGGGTGAACCCCAGGCCAACCAAAGGGATTGTAAAATAAGTGGAGCAAAGTCGATAATTTGCCCCAGGGGAGGGGAAATTTAACATAGCAAAGTCCCCTGGGTCAAGTACGTCTCAACTAATATTCCCCTGATACGAGATCTATGTCATCTAACTGGGATTTAGGCAACTTTTTTGCGATAGTATAGCTCTTGTTGATGCCTGCGTAGTCGGTTTGATTTCTTGCGTGCGATTGTTGCAAAAGACGTCAAAAACACCCGTGGATTTAATATTTGGCTGCAAAGCCACGAGAATAATGGACGCGACAACACCTTGCAGCTCACTTCCCTAAAAAGCAATCCCACACTCTGATCCCGCCAGCTACGCATCCCAGTGACGCACCCGTCTATGACGAGTAGGGGATCAAATTTTATTCATTCGTTTTAGGAGCGGCGAAATAAAATATAATACATTAATATTTCAATAAAAATCAGTACAATAAAATAGCACCCGAAGACAAGTTCACGAAGGTTATTATTAGCAAGAGACTGGTAATGTTTTTTTTGCCAGTGGGCTACTGGATAGAACCAGTAATAATCTGCCTTGTGAAGCTTTATAATTAGTTTCAAGGCCAACTATGCCCACCTAACACTATTTATGTTTATTCATTTACATTTATTAAGTACTACAGTTACTCATTGTACTTCCTTAGTTTTCATTTTATCGGCTACAGGAACAGTACTTCAACATAGCCACAGCGCGCGTTTTACAACTGATTACTATGCTGGGCACGTTTTCTCGCTGTTTCTGCGATTTGTTGCGAGAAATCACTAGATTTCATAAAGGTTGAGAAGGATTCCCCGACACATTCCCCTGCTTTGCCCGGTGACATGTGCATAATAGTCAACTAAAACCAGATAGTGTTCCTTAATCCAATCAAAAATATCAGACCCAACTTTTGACCAGGGCCTGTAACTTGGTTCTTAGTCTGGAAAGCGTTGCAGACTCCACATGTATCAATGAACTACATCAGTTTCTTGTTCATCTCTGGTCATCATAAAGATGTTCTGGCACGCCTAAGGGTTGGATCTTTGCCCATATGCGCAATTTCAGTTGGTTGTCAGGGTCTTTCGCATGCAGCGCCGCTAAGACTAGTATGCGATCATTTCTGTATACAACTTCGTCGCCAAATGACAGTTCATATTTAACGCTCCAATAGGGTAAAATTTCGACAGGAACGTTTCGTTTGTATAATATCCAGCAAATCGATATATGGTGGATTACAAACTGTAAGTCAGTATCCTGCTCAGTTGCTTCTGAAATTTCGGCTAAGTGGCTTGTTATAAGCTTTAATCTTCGTGAACCAGTCTGGTCGTTTCCATCTCTTGTTCCATCTTGCTTCGGTTCTAGTTGGTCGGTTGAGATCTGCTCAGGGCATCTACAATAAGGAGGTCTTTGTCCTTAACATACTTGTCATATCCCATGATTTTACAAAGCATTCGCTGTATATAGTCATCAAACAAGGTTTTCCTTTAACAGGTTTCTTCAGTACGGCAGCAAGAGGCTTTTGTAGTCATTATTGATTGTCACTTTCCTGCTCATAAGTGTTAAGGTATGAAATCTAGCGAGCCCAAATCGAATACTTTGCTTCTCTTTCTATAAATTTGGCTGTAGCATTTTTCAGTGTCAGTTAATGCTCTCGATGTAAAGTGTATAGGTTGGCCTCCTTGCATTTGGCAGGCTCCTAATCCACTTGTTCAGCCACTTCGAAGTATTTCAGCAGCGGTGGGTTTAAAATGAGGGTCTTCATTTCACCAAGGCTTTCTGTTTATTTTACTCCCAGATAAACGAATTGCTGTTCTTCAGCAGAGCTCTCAGTGGTTCTAACTTGGTTAAAAAATCTTCTGAAAATCGTGAGAGGTAGGGAACATCACCGAGTAGTCTTCTCAATTCATCGTTGCTGGTTGGGGCAGGTATGGACATAACACAATCTTGTTTCCTGGGGTCAGGTATATATCCTTTGTCTGTTAGGCCACACCCATATGAATGTAGAACAGTTCAGTCTTCTTCAGCTGGAACTTCTCCTTATTAAGTTTAACATTCTTCCGCTGGCATCGCTTTAACAAGGTAAGCAATTTCTTGTCATGGCTAGCTGTTGACTCTTCAAAGCTGTCGTCATCACCCCAGATCAAGATGTAATCGACTATAGCCTTAACACCTTCCAATCCTCCTAGATTCTCTTCACTATTCTCTGAAATTCTTTAGGTGCTACACTGATGCCAAAGGCATTCATCCGCCCAAGAGGTTGTCAGCAAGGCGCTTCCTGCATCTAATGGTACGGGCCCGAAAAGGCAGTCTTGATACCAGCTACAGAAAATACTTCAGTTAGCATTGCCAATTTCTGTGAGCAGATGATCAACAGCCGAGTTTGGATACTCATATCGCTTGAGTGCGATGTTCAGTCGTCTACTGCCTATGCAGAGTCTAATTCCATTCTTAGCAGAAGGTTTGCAGTCTACAACTAGGAGCACTTACCCATTCAGCCACTTTCTCAGGTGTACCTTGCTGTTGGAGGTCTTTTACTTCAGCAACAAAATTGTTTTTTAGTACACAAACAGGGATCTCTCTAAGAGCTGTTTTGTGTGGAAGTACATTATTACTTGGGTAAAGGTGTAGTTCGCCGTCAAACTTTCCTATACTGTCACCAAAGACTTGAGGGTAGTCGTCCGGTCAGAACGATCTTCAAGGGGAGTGGTGTTGGCACAATTCACCAGAAGTTAAAAGGTTTAGCTGGCCCTGCTACAGCAATATGTTCTAGATTTCCGTAAGACCTCAATGAGTCTGAGCGTCTCATAGTCTCGAATAGTCATTCAGGCCATTGAGGGTTGCTAGGTCTCTTTCAACAATTCTAAACTGAATAATCACTTCTTCATTGGTTGCAGGATTTACTCCTGACAAAGACTTTTCTGGTTCCCAGTGTCTAAATTTATGGTTTCTTCATTATAGTGAGAAAGAGCAGGCTTGTTTGCATTGAGGTTATAGACTCCACTGATGTCTTTGTACACATTCCGCATATGGAGAATGCTACATGCAGAACCAGAGTCTATCTGTTAGCTAACGTAACAGGAATCCTTTTCTTAACTGACAGCAATACAGTAGGCTTGCAAAAGTTTTCTTGTGATCACAGGTTTCGAGTTGAGTACAGAAATTTTGTCAAGAACTTCATTATAGTGAATCCTCACCATCTTCTTCCACTCTCAGTACAAATTGTTTTGTGGATTATTTTGATTGTTTGTGATGTGAGTGTTTCTCTTGTATACGTTTTTGGAGTTGTTTACACTTCTTTGATCGATCTTTGAGTCTCGAAAGTGATTTTTGATCTTTCACTTTCTGTAGACTACTCCCCAGGTGGGGCCAAGTTTCTTGTCTGAAAAACCAAGAGCTCCCATTTTGCTGGCACAGTAATTACACATGAGGGCTTTTTTACATAATAGGCGATTTTTTGGAAACAGCTTTTACGCTCTCCTTTGCAGGAGGTTGGTTTGCACTACACTCTTGAAAGTTCAATTTTAGTACTTTCTTAAGCCTTGCCAATTGTCATAGCTTCACCTCTTGCCAAAGTGCTTCCTTTTTCTAGGAATCGTTCTTTCGGTTGTTCAACAGATTCACCGTAAAAAGATGATCTTTCCGTGGCGCTTGTCTAATCTTCAACTACATAACTGCAGTTTCCGCAGGGGATGTCTCTCCAGTTTTTTGCACTCGTTCTTTAAATTTCTTTTAGAAGCAACATTCTCGTTACATTCTGGACTTACCGCTCTCTCCAACTTCGTCCCGGACTTCAGTTTGCAGTCGTAATACATCGTCTGCACCTTCAAACGAGTCTAAGCTGTCGTAGATCTTTTGGCTTTCAGGTCCGAGCCAATCGTGTACCAGAATACCAGAATACAGTTTCCTTCGTTTGAAACCGATTCACAAGACTTCTTTTGAAGATATAACCACATTTCTTTTTAAAGGTTCTCAATGCTTCGAGGCGATTTTCTTGACGACCCAGAATCGAAATTTGGTCGTTTGAAGTTCATGCTGTTTTCGCTATGAAATCCAGCTACGTTCTGAACTGGGCCAGCTTTTCGGCACCGACATGTTTCATAGTAGCAGCAGAGAAAATATCACAGGTTATCACAGCAGACACGAAAATTCCAGTGAATTTCAACATATAATATTAAAAAAACAATCTGGTAAAAATTAACACCGTCAGGTCTTGGCGCAAAATTACACGAGCAGTATGTTTCGACGAGATTCCATGAGCACTCACAGACTCAGACTCTAAACGATGTCACAGAAAGTAACCAGACCAATAGCAGAAAAATAATCTGCGTTTTTTCAATTCGTGGTACCATGTTTTGGAAGTATATCTTCACATACACGAACTGTAAGATCCAAGTGTAACCTTTTTTCTATTATTCGTTCCTGCGTAATTTGTTTTTCCTTTGCGTACGCAAATTAGTTTATACTTCTTTTCGTCCTTCTGTTTAGTCTTTTTTTTGCGTTAATTTCGGTGTTTATTCCTTTCTATCAGTTTTCGCGCCCTCGTTAGCGTTTCTTTGCTGTTTCATCTTCATTAGCACCTCTCTAAGTTTCTATAGTTTTATTTTCCGCATGTTC